GTTTCGAATATACCTTGACCTGTTAAAAAATAAATAGATAAATAAATCTTAGTATGCAGTCCCCATCTTCTCATGACTAATGAGAGAGTTTGTTCATCTCCATAGACAACCAGACAGCTAGCTCAAAGGCACAGTGTCAGATTTGGGTCAAACAACTTGCAGTAAAGCTGTGGCTAATGATGCATAGGAAATAAAACCACTCTGGAGTTTGATTTCCTTCATAAAGACCAGTCTGTATCATCCAGCCCCTGAAATCAGAGTTGTGCTGCATTAGCAGATTTACAGCAAATATTTAGCTGTGTGTCATAAGTGTATGTTATACATTGTATGTAAAATCTATGATGACCTAGAGTTGACCTTCGGGGGCCACTTTAAGTAAATGTGGTTACATCTGAAAGGAACTCTGCGGTAAAAGAAATAAAACTCAAATAAAGCAAAATGAGTCGGCTAGTAGAAGCAAATCATGTGCCAGTAAAGTTTGTAATATGTTTAGTAGTTTGTAAGTATGTTTCTAGTCATGCAAAAATAACAAAAATCCAAAATTATTTATGTAAAAAACAAAACAAAACCAGGTTTTGCAGTAGCCTGAGAGTTAGCTTAGCAAACCTGAAATAATAATAACAACATAGATTTGTATAGGGTCTTTCAAGAAAGCCAAGGATGCCTTTCAGTAGAGTAGATAGAGGTTAAAAAATGCAGCATTATAGAAACTTGTTTTGCTCTCATGGTCTTTCACCATGCTAACTACATATTATTATATTGTGATTATTATATTATTATCTTAAGCTAATAAATTATTCTATGCACATTTACCTACATGATGCTGGTATACAGATGAAGAAATTGTACAAAGTTGTAATAGCACTACCCTTTGCATCCCTGATACCCTGGCATACAATGTTTGGTTTTAGATTTACATGTTTACACATGTTTGTGACACCAGAAAAAATCCCACAGACATGCAAAGTAATTATAGTGTTAGAAACTCAAATATAAATATTGCATTTTATTATCTTGTAGTATTGACAACCAATGCTGACTCACTAGTACATAATATGCTGGCCCTGTGATGTGCAGTGTCTTCGCAGGACACTTCAGTGGCAGATTATTGTGTTATTGTTATTGTGTTTACTGTGGTTGAGGCCTTAATATTTCTGTAATTTCCCCTGTAAAGCATGTAAAAAACATCACCATCAATTTTTAATTCAGTTATTTCTTCCTCATCTCAGTGTGCATACAACGTTCCCTCTGTTCACATGTGTTGAACAACAGCAGACTCCTGTCTCAGCTGTTTCAAGAGTGTAAATTTAATCAGTTTAAACAGACAGCAGAGGGCACTGATAAGTGTTTATTGTGCTCTGGTTTGCTCTGTAGACACAGCAGACTCCAGCCAGGACCAGTTCTTGTTTTGTATTTTTTCCAGTGAGCTGCAGGACCTAGAATGAAAACTTTGTATTGTGTGAACCGAAAGCATAACAAATGATTTAACAGTTAATTTCCAATATTGAAACATGCTTCCTACTCCCCCTTCTTCTTCTTCTTCTTCTTCTTCTTCTTATTGTTTCAGTTTGACCTTTATCATCCTTGAAATGCGATACAAAATGTTGCACATATGCTCACTAGTATTCGTGGCCACAGAAACCTTAATAAAAACCCTGGTCTCATGTGTCTCTGTCTAACCTTGTACGTGGACAGTGTGTTAGGACACCAGTCTTTTGGTGTGCGGTTTCAGTGTTCAGTCTGTAGAAGCTCGTGGCACTTGTGCTGAACTTGGAGGAGGGGCGGTAGAGAAAAAAATGAACTTCACTGCGGCTGAACATCGTGTTCCTGAAACAAAACAATATTCGAGACAAGGTCGTGCGCGCTCCGTCGCGCGGAAACACGCACGTCACTTTTTTGTGGCAGTGAGGGTTT